ATATATATATATATATATATATATACACATATATATGTATACGTATATATCTCTCAATAGATTTCAATCTTTATACACCGTCTATCTCTATAAATCATCTAGAATATTATTAGTGTATTTAAGATTTGATTTTTGGAATATTTTTTGGAAGAAAAAGAATAATCAATATAAATGGTCCTTCTAAACTTAATGCGACATAAATAAGAAATATCTGTTATTATTTCTATTATAAATAATGCAATTATTTCCATTAAGATAAATGAAATTTACTAATTTATACGGACGGTGCAATTCTGATTTGATTACTTCCTTATTAAATTACATATTATCACATATTCTGTACAGCAATTGCTCAAGATGTAAAATTACGAGTTCAACATTTTTACATTTCATTGATTATCCACGCCATTTTTAAAAAATAATTGCTAAAAAATTTTCGCAATTATTCGCGAAAAAATTCGCGTTCTTTTTCTCGTATTTTAATAAAAATTTCAGTCTCTAATATATTATACCACAAAGAACATGAATATTTTCGCTTATTTATTCCAAGAAACTGCCGATTTTATACTATAAATCAGATTTTGTGAGAGGTCTCTTTGGCCATGTATTTTTCTCTAAAAGTTTCTCCTTAATTTCCCATAATCGATTGAGCTTTTCGTTTACAGGTGTAACATATGTCTCAAGCCACTCTTGTATTGTATAATCGTCATAAATATCTTCCATAGCTGTACGCATCTCTTTTTCGATATATATTATTTCCATTTTATGTCTATCCAAATCAGTAACCGCACGTTCGACGTAACTAGGACTCGCGAAAGAATATTTAATGTTGTATGATTTTAACCATCCCTTATAGGTATTATCCTGTTCCATCTTCATTATTTCCTGTGTCAGAGAATAAAGACGTAAAATAGCTGCGTATACCGATACTCCGTGGAAACTGCATTTGGTCCAGCCGTACTGTGGTTCTGGTATGCTTAACGAGATGATACCATCGCATTGTAAAGTTTCAGATATACGATCGGGTAATTCTACAGGAAAGACGTTTACATCTGAGGCTTGTAATATAGCTAAATTAATGGCGAGAGATGGTAATCCCACTGGCAGTAATTCGCAAAGGACACTGAAGTGATCGTATCTCTGCCATCCAGTCAATATGGCACCCTTGAATGTGATTTGATTTGAGTATTTCTGAATAATTTCTAACCAACGTTGATGATTTTCCATGTGATATGAAATGTCTGTATAATATCTATCAGGTGAAGTAGCTCCTTTGAATGCTGACGCAACCCAGACTTCCTTCCACACGGCGGCGTAACTTTCCCACAGTTGATCCGTTAGCGTCATGCCAGGATCGGTGGTGTATTTCCAAATAACTGGTTCTATCATCGAGTGAAGGCCCCTGTCAATGATTTCCTGTGGCGATATATCACGAAATTCATCATCCCACATAAGTACAGTCAGTTCTGGGTATCTCTCTTTGGTGTACTTAACTACTGCAGAGACATGATCCAGAAACAACTGTCGCTTGCTCCATTGCCTTTTGGCCATGACGTCTAAACATCTTGAGCATTCTCCTATCTGATAAACTTCGTCCGCACCTATGTGCAAATATTTTGACGTTGGATGAGCCGATACGACTTGGTTTATCATTTCATAGATCAAGGGTAGTGTTTTATTATACGTAGGACATAAAACTTGAGGATAACGTGGAACTTCTCTGAAATCTTTATACTTGTCTAATTTAAGAACAAACTCCATGTGACCAAAAGTCTGTATTAATGGTATGATGATTAATTGATTGTTCCTAGCTATAGTTTGAAGCTGCGCAATGTCCTTCTTAGAATAAGAATTGCCGGCGTGTATGTCTTCAATGCTATCAGCAAAGGGAAACATGTCTTCGTATTCCACAAGCACGCCAGTGGCTCCTAGTTTTCGCAGCAGAGGAAATAGGTAGTTATAATAGCTCATCTTAGGCGGGGCGCCTTTCAGATCTAGGTGGACGATCTTATGACCCTTGAACAGTGGAGTGCCGTCTGCAAACGATTTATCATAGTGAGTTAATTCGTTAACCAGTCTGTTCCTACCGTTCTTCAAATCACCCGTTATCTGTCCATCTACTAGCTGCCTTCTGGCAGCGCCCTGAGGGCTGTCCATGAGTTCACCTGGTGGATACACATCCTCGGCTCTCAGACGCGTGCTGATTTTGCCCGATGACATCTCGTCGATCTCGTTACTCAGTATATGATATATGACAACCAACAGGATGAAGCTGATCGTCGCGACGACCATTAGCGACGCACGGCCCCGTAGACGCGTCATGATGTCGAGAAGATTCGCACTCCGGGGATCGAATCGCCGTCAAACCTATCGCGCTGTCACGTCCATCGTTCACGAACCGCGCGATCTCCAGAGAGACGGGGGGAGAGAAAGAGAGAGAGAGAGAGAGAGAGAGAGAGAGAGAGAGAGAGAAATTATTGTGGAGCAACGCGAGAGACACGTTCGGTGTTACTCATCGAATCACAAAATCGCGAACCACATGTATTCTCGTCTCAAGAGACGAACGTTTCTCAACGGACAATGTCTCGAGTGTCAGAAAAATCGTGATAAATCGCGAGGCACGCGGGGCTGAGCTTCCTACGCGGACCATCAACGTCCTCGGAGCTCTTTTATGGATAAGAAAAAGAGAGAGAGAGAGAGAGAAGAGGATAAAGCGGCGTCGGATCCGTCTCGGAGTAATCTAACTGGTCGGTGACGTCGGTGTGGCCTGGTGTGGCCTGATACGTAGTATGTACAGGCGCGGTGTAAGCCATGCGCGCGGTCTGTCGGCATCTCCGAGAGACACCCGGACCGAAGAGGAGAAGGAGATAGAGACGCGGCTGCTCCAGTTCTATACATGGCCTACTGCACGCTCGCTGATCCGTAGATACGCGTAGCGGCACGATAATTATTGATTCCTGCATCTCACGCTACGCCGAGCGACAATGCAGCCCGTTTTGAATTTTCAGCGAGTAGAGAGAAAAAGAAATTACA